TGGGTTGGGTGGCCTTTATTCCCACCCAAAACACACACACACACACCCGGGTTGGCAAAGGTGGTTGGAAGGTACATTTAATTGATAGATTTACCCTTCGAGGAAGAGGTAGGTAGTTTATACTGTTAGAGAACTAATATTAGAACTATTGAGACAACTTTTTTTTTTTTTTTTTTTTTTTTATTCGCCGGTATTCTCCCGGCCCGGGTCTTTTCCAAGTAGTGGTGACCCGGCCTTGGCTCCCTATCTGGGGAGTGTCTCGAGACTTAAGTCTCCCATGGGAGGAGGTACAGTACCTCCTCATCTTTGGGACCAAGTGTCCCCAGGCCTGGCCACGTTCCCCGCCCTCACGGGGCTTGTAGGGAGAAGCTAGGCCTCTGGTCTGCCATTTACCCCGCCTCAAAGGGGCTCGTGGGGATGGCAGTCTTATGAGCTGCAGATGGTAGCAAGCTCAGGCCTCTTATATATATTGAGACAACTGTAGATAATAACAATGTAGACCTAAGACCTTAACGTAGGTAGTAATAGGCCGGTAATGTAGGCAAACAGTAGGTTATATTAGCCAGGGAGAACTGGCAGCCCAAGTTTGAATGCTGGGGCATTGGGTTTTGAGACCTCAGTGGCTTCTTCTAAGACCAGACACCATCGGATCAACAAGTGCCTCCACGTGTCTTCACATACTAGACCTGGGGAAATCTGGTGGAGGCACCTTGATGTACTGTAGATGACCTCCGTCAGGTCCATACAGTAAGACGAGACCTCCCTTTCTTTCTCAGTATTCTGGCCAGTTTCTGGGGGAAATTGCGAGTGAGTTGAGCTGTGGGTCTTTGTGCAGGCGGGCAGCCCATGAGCAGTACATACCGGTGTCTCTTCGTCAGCCTTAGAAGCTAGTGTCACTTTCTGCATAGTTGAACTAGGGGATACACACCCCCTTGGAAACAGAAATTTCTGAGGTGCAGGCAGGTCACTAATACCGACTGAATATTGCAGGAATTAAGGCTCCCGGTTGCACGTGGTTCTGAAGGGAAGTCCAGAGGGGCTAAAGCTTAGGGAGCTTGAAGACCTGGATACATTCTCCAGCACCAAGTAAGTTAGTCCTTTATACGTGCATGCAGGTGAGATTTCTTGCAACATCAGTCATTTATGAAAATCTGTCGTATAAGCCACTTGTGAGGCTGAGGTACCAGCCTCAGGGCTCGGTGTCATCATAGCTTGCCAGGGTAGACAACTCACATGGAGGCACTCCAGACAAATTTTCACACCGTGTTTCTTGTCTCCTGTATTATTCGTTTATCTTTCTTTAGCTAGTACTAGTAAGTTATGTCTGTGTCCATCATACTAGCATGTAAGTGATGTCTGTGTCCATCATATTAATATGTAAGTGATGTCTGTCTCCATCATACTAGTATGTAAGTGATGTCTGTGTCCATCATATTAATATGTAAATGATGTCTGTTTCCATTATACTAGTATGTAAGTGATGTCTGTGTCCATCATACTAGTATATAAGTGATGTCTGTGTCTATCATGCCTGAAGTATACTTTGAGAAGTTCTGGATCGCTCCCGCGGCCCGGTCCATGACCAGGCCTCATGGTGGATCAGGTCTCTGATCAACCAGGTTTGTTTACTGTTGTCTTCACGCAACCCGACGACAAATTACAGCCGGCTGGTCAGTACGACTTTAGGTGCCTTGACCAGCGCCGTCATGTAGACAACCAGGGTCTATTGGTAATTCCCTATGTAGCTGGAGTAGTTGAACAGTCTATGGCCCTGACACTTACTGTGTTGTCTCTTATCTACTAGTGGCACGACATGCACCAATTTTCTAGACCCCAAATTTGCGTGGGACTGCCATTATAGGCCTACACACTGTGTATGGGTATAACACACATCCGGTAATCTTCTTTCCTCAGAGAAAATGCACATGAATGGTATTAAGTTTGTCATAGACAAACAAAAATCAACAACACACATCACATATGAGTAGTAAAAATATTCCCATGTGCCTTAATTAAGCTGTTCTGAGGTATTAAATTACACCTAGAACAACGAAATATAAGGCCATATAAAAAAGTCATTAAGTATAAGATAAACCGTGATCTGTACAGAGACTCTTGTCGAGTCTTATACACGAGTTATACCTGAAGAGTTTCGGGGTCAACGCCCCCGCGGCCCGGTCTGTGACCAGGTCTCCTATACAGCAAGTTGGGTTACAGGTTACTGCTCTTAAGTGGAAATTACTGTACAGTGAAGCATAGCCTTTTTTTTTTTTTTGACTTTTAAATGCATATAAAATCTTGATAACATGTTTACTGTATTATATGTAAAGTGAACAATAGAGCTTGGCCTAAAAATTGCTTGTACAGTACATGCATCACTGACCTTAAAATATTTTCAGCCTTAGCTGAGTGATGCATATGTTTATTCTAGGGAGTCCAAATATATGAAAATTGAAAACACCTGCACTAACACATCATAAACACCTGCACTAACACATCATAAAGCACCTGCACTAACACACCATAAAATACCCCCCTGCACTAACACCATAAAATACCTGCACTAACACATCATAAAACACCTGCACTAACACATCATAAAACACCTGCACTAACACACCATAAAATACCTGCACTAACACACCATAAAATACCTGCACTAACACACCATAAAATACCTGCACTAACACATCATAAAACACCTGCACTAACATATAAAACACCTGCACTAACACACCATAAAATACCTGCACTAACACCTCATAAAACACCTGTACTAACACATCATAAAACACCTGCACAAACCCCACCCCCATAAAATACCCTGCACTAACACTCATAAAACACCTGTACTAACACATCATAAAACACCTGCACTAACACATCATAAAACACCTGCACTAACACATCATAAAACACCTACACTAACACACCATAAAATGTCGTGTGGGGTTCGGTAGGAGATTTGAGGGTTGAAGGTAGACACACTTGTTGGATGGTAATGCAATGTTGTCAGACTGTGATGAGAGGTGGCAGCCCAGGCCTACCCTGTTCTGCCTTGCTTGTAGGTGGTCCGTCGAGTGAGAAAGAGGCAGCTCTCACGCTGCATCCCGTGACGTCATACAGTCACTCGGTCTAATAGGGATCTTCTATATAAAGCACATGGATGGTACTATAATACGCTATACAACACATATAAGGGGATCAGCAACTATGCTGACAATAAATACCTGCACTAACACATAATAAAACACCTGCACTAACACAACATAAAACACCTGCACTAACACATCATAAAACACCTGCACTAACACATAAAACACCTGCACTAACACATCATAAAGCACCTGCACTAACACATCATAAAACACCTGCACTAACACACCATAAAACACTTGCACTAACACATCATAAAACACCTGCACTAACACACAATAAAACACCTGCACTAACACACATCATAAAACACCTGCACTAACACATCATAAAATACCTGCACTAACACACTAGAAAATACCTGCACTAACACATCATAAAACACCTGCACTAACACATCATAAAACACCTGCACTAACACACCATAAAATACCTGCACTAACACATCATAAAACACCTGCACTAACACATCATAAAACACCTGCACTAACACATCATAAAACACCTGCTAACACATCATAAAGCACCTGCACTAACACACCATAAAACACCTGCACTAACATACCATAAAACACCTGCACTAACACATAATAAAACACCTGCACTAACACAACATAAAATACCTGCACTAACACATCATAAAACACATGCACTAACACATCATAAAACACCTGCACTAACACACCATAAAATACCTGCCCTAACACACACCATAAAATACCTGCACTAACATACCATAAAACACCTGCACTAACACATCATAAAACACCTGCACTAAACACACCATAAAATACCTGCACTAACACATCATAAAACACCTGCACGAACACATCATAAAACACCTGCGCTAACACACCAAAAAACACCTCACACCTAACACACCATAAAATACCTGCACTAACACACAATAAAATACCTGTACTAACACATCATAAAACACCTGCACTAACACACCATAAAACACCTGCACTAACACACCATAAAATACCTGCACTAACACATCATAAAACACCTGCACTAACACATCATAAAACACCTGCACTAACACACCATAAAACACCTGCACTAACACACACCATAAAATACCTTCACTAACACATCATAAAAATAACCCTGTACTAACACACCATAAAATACCTGCACTAACACATCATAAAATACCTGTACTAACACACCATAAAATACCTGTACTAACACATCATAAAAACACCTGCACTAACACACCATAAACACCTGCACTAACACACCATAAAAATACCTGACTAACACATCATAAAACACCTGGACTAAGACACCATAAAATACCTGCACTAAACACACCATAAAATACCTGTACTAACACATATAAAACACCTGCACTAACACACCATAAAACACCTGCACTAACACACCATAAAATACCTGCACTAACACATCATAAAACACCTGACTAAGACAAACCCATAAAATACCTGCACTAACACACATAAAATACCTGTACTAACACATTATAAAACACCTGCACTAACACACCATAAAATGCCTGCACTAACACACCATAAAATACCTGTACTAACACATCATAAAACACCTGCACTAACACATCATAAAACACATGCACTAACACACCATAAAACACCTGCACTAAAACACCATAAAATACCTGCACTAACACATCATAAAACACCTGCACTAACACACCATAAAACACCTGCACTAAAACACCATAAAATACCTGCACTAACACACCATAAAACACCTGCACTAACACACCATAAAACACCTGCATTACCTGAACACATCATAAAACAGTATCAGATTCCATTTGTTTTAATCTTATTTGATTCAGGAAAAATTAAATACTCTTTTAAACTCTCGAGAATTTTTTTTAAATGTTTCTACATTAACAGGAATTTTATTTTCGAGTCATCGTACAGTTGAGGAGCTACATTGTTCAGAGTTACCCTGAGATGACTTGATGAGTCTTCATCATGACAATTATAATGAATGTAAAATTAAATGAATTGTAAAATTAAAAATTCTATAATTTATCTAAAAACTACAGAAAATGAACAAAATATACTTCCAAACTTTATTTAAAAAATTACACATAAATAATAATAATAATAAATAATAATAATAATAATAATAATAATAATAATAATAATATCAAAGAATCATGTGACAGGCAGCAGAGAACATTATTCTTCCTTTATTTTCTGCTTTTTGAGCAACACTGGTATCACCATTATAGCGAGAAGAATGAGCAGAGCTGTTACAGAAGACAGCAGGATCAGCAGAAGCAGGTAGACGTCTGCGTTACTCTGCTGAAGTAGATACAGATGACTTCCCTTCTTCATATATCTGCAAAAAACGAAAAAAAATATATGGTATATAAAGACTAAAAAGGCAGATGGCCAGGGCTCCGGGAGCAGAGACTCAAAACTCACCAAAGATTCTCACATATAGGAAAATACAACATGTGATGGTGCTTTGATACTGTCTTCTAGCATCAGACAGTATGGACATACATGGTATATAATACTGACACGATGGTATAATACTGACACGATGGTGTAATACTGACACGATGGTATAATACTGACACTTCTACAACCATTTAATCAAGTACAGAGACACAAGACTCATAGCCAGGGAAGAAGACTTTCTGTCGCCAGGTCTTCCATTTATCACTTATCTAACAATTTCAACCAGAACAACAGCTTTCACAACTGTTGCAGCCCCTGAATGGGTTGCAATGTATGTATATATATATTACATGTATATTACCTTTTCATATAATTTTACATTGCTTATATTTGCGATAATAGCTAAATTGTAAATATATTGCTTTATATTATTATTTGACTTAGTTATGTTAGGTAGGATGTAACATATATTATGTGCTCAAAGTTCAAGTCTTGATTGTCTAACTACTGTAATTATCGCTTGTGGCTCGTTTCCCTGCTGGCTTGTTGCTGAGCTGCAGCTGTCCACGGAGCTATCACGTGATCGAGGGGGGGTGTCCTCACCTCTCCTGAAGTATTCAATCTGGTCTAGACTCTCTTGGTGGTTGGACGTATTCCAGACAAAGTGCCTAAATCTCTCTTATAGGCCCTTGTTGGAAGATCGTCTCTTGTCTTATTGTTAGTTCTGGAGACTGTTCACAGAACATTGTATAGACTTAGTGATTTTCGACGTTGTACTGAGGTTGTGTGTCACATAGACACTCTGAGCAACTCAGGTCCTGAGCTGTAGCTTCTGACCTAATTTGTACTGGTATCTGTGTATTGTTACAGTCGGGGAATTTCTTACGCTGAACTTAGATTCAGTAGTATGGGAGTTTTGTGACTTTCGTGGAGGATCTGCTGATTGTCCCTACTAGCTGTCGTCATATTATATCCTTGTTCCTGATTCTGTGTTGCAGTCACTTGTTATATTGCTATTGGGCTTAGCATTCTTTTTATTGTTCAAGCAGACTGTTCTGATTGCCAGTCGGTCAAGAAGTTAGTTAATTTGTGGACTTTGTCAGTCACTTGTTTAAGTCTAGTCGAGTCGTGAGACATAGCGAACTACTTAGAGCACTTACACACATACACACAAACTTACTTGTACATATTTGTAATATCTTATTAAATGTTAATGTACCAGACGGTACTTAAGAATTATAAAAGTGATATGTGTTTTCAGCACAATAATACTGTACACGAGAGAAGTGATTATTATTAATTTGTTTCAATTGATTAATTTAATTTAATTTGATGATATACCTCTAGACGATACTTAATAAATTTATTAAATTTTATTTTCTCTAGTTAGTAGCCTACCAGTTGTAATCCTGAAGCACTATTGAATCCTACTGAATTCTAATGGATAATTGGACAAGGATACTGACTAATTGTTATGAAAACCCAGTAACAGGCTGGATTCTAGAAGGGCAGTCCTTTCTAGTATTCACTGGAGATCTCTAAGCTTTTAGAATAGCATTTTTTGTAACAAATGGGGCCTGTCTGGGATGCTCTTGATCCAAGGTGTTGGAGAAATTGTCCAGTTTGACATACTAGTAACTCTATGATCAAACACTTTGAGTTCTTTTCTAATCTGAAGACTTTGAGTTTAGTCTTGTACAACATACCGGGTGGATGTATGTACCTGACTGAGTCTCTTGATCCAAGGAGATGGAAATACTGTTTATGAGTTCTAGCTCTAAGACCACCAACACTAAAATTCCTATTAGGTTTATAGCTCCCCATAATCACTCTCTCGTAGTACATTTATTTTCGTGATGTATGCCAAAGTGAAACAGTTAATTGATACTCTGACTTTGTCTGAGTTGAGTACATTAAAACTTCAGATGTGTTGGCGAGTAGCCAAATATCTCGGTGTGACGTATAACAGGAATTACACCGCAGAAACTGTCAGAGCATTAATTAAAGATATATTGTTTCCTGCTCATACAGAGATGTCTGATTATGATTCAGATTCAGAAAGTCTAGTGTCACAATTAGGAGGTATGGCTCTATTTGATAACTTAGAAGAGCATCTAAGGCAGAAGTGTCTGAGCCTAGGGAACCTCCGCTCACGCCTTCCCGCCTCACTGACACCATAGTACAGAGTATAGCTGGTTGGATGACTCAGCCTCATACTAGTAACATGTATGATACACCTGTATCTACTTATCCTAGACCAGATCTAGACTCTCTAGGGACGGCTGGACGAAATTTCCAACCTAAGGACAGTCCAGAAAGACATGTTAATTTCCCTACTCCTCCATTACCCACTGGTCCTATCTCTCAGGAACAGTTTGAGAGGTTTGAACACCTCATTATGCTGCAAACTGCACAAATAGAGGCACAGAGGAAATTGAACGAAGAAGATTTCCAAAGAGAAAATGTTCGTCTGGGAAGACAACAGACTGATAGATCACAGGACACATTTAATGTGCAGAAAGCTGCATCCATGGTTCCTAAGTTTTTTGAGAGTGACTTAGACACCTATTTTGATGTATTTTAGAACCAGGCACGTGCTATGAACGGGCCACGTAAGCACTGGGCTACCTTGTTGCACACAGCTTTGACAGGAAGAGCTCAAACTTGTACTGCTGCTTTACCATTTGCCAAGTACATTAGTTATGATGCTGTCAAGCAAACTATTCTAGAGACATATAACTTGTTGCCTGTAAGTTATCAAGGTGCATTTCGTACATTACAACGACGGCAAGATCAAACTTGTGTAGAGTTTGCTCATGAGAAAAAAGTTGCATTTGAGAGATGGTCTAGATCTGCTCAATGTTACAACTACAATAGCCTAGTTCAGTTGTTACTTCACGAAGAGTTTAACAACTGTATGTCTGTTGACATACAAGAATATCTGATCGATCATACTACCTCGGATATTCTGGAAACCACAGCATTAGCAGACAATTACGAGATTTCTCACAAACTTGTACATACTAAATAACAGAGAAACAAGGTAACTAAAAATTGTCCTAGAAGCTGGCAACCTAAATCAGCTGCTCATTGCCGGCCTGATGTACCTGCTACTGTAACTTCTCGTACCTTTACCAGGAAAACTCACAATCCTGAATCTGTCTCTGTGGTTAGACAGAAATCTGATATCGAGAAGAAGAAAGTTAAATGCACCTATTGTAACAGAAAAGGACATGCTAAAGAGTATTGCTATAAGTTAGAAAGAGATACGAGAAGCAGTCGTGTGGCTGGTGCCCCCACTCAAGTCGTATCCTCTTCCGAGCAGCAAAGGCACCAAAATTCTAGTAATACCTCTGATCCTACTGTTTTAGATAATATTACTCAGGATAGATGACTAGCGTCAGAAAGTGTATCTGACGAAAAGATTCGTTCAGCGATGAGTCCTTACTTTTCGAGAGGTAAAGTAGGATTTGATGAATCACATCTGAGATAATTACTTTCAGAGACACTGGCAGTTATCTCACATTATTGAGAGAAGATGTACTGCCCATAACTGATGATACCTATTGCAAGATAGATGTATTGTTAGAAGCCTATGGTGGGGCTGTTATAAAAGTACCTCTTCATAAAGTTTACATTGAAACAAGCTATTATACTGGTTATATTTCAGTGGGTATATCCAGTGGTGTATTTCCCATCAGGTCAGTGGACTTGTTGACAGGGAACGATATCCTTCATGCTGGTATATGTAAAGAACAACATGTGATTGATAATAACACTGATGATAATTATGCCATTGAAGCTTGTAGAGAGAAGCCTATTTTATTTCCTCTCAGCACAATTACTAGAGCTATGGCAAAGATACAATAACCATCCTTGTCTCCTGTTGAGTTAGTGGATGACAATGATTTGGGCTTGAATATGTTGTTTAGTGACGCTCTGCGCCCAGGATCATTAACATTGACTCCCCCGTGTCTTCAACCTAGTCTGGACACTACTGATGTTAAATTTCTAACTCATGATTTAATCAAGGATCAGTTTGTTGATCAGTCACTGGAAAGACTGAGAGATATAGCAGTTACTGAGAGTGAAGCAAAGGATCTCGATAATTGTTACTATTATAGTAATGGTGTACTGATGAAGAAAAATACATGCAAGTTGTCAGCTGATAGTGTTTCCACAACAGTCAAACATCTCGTAGTGTTACCAGTTACATTTCGTGAACAAGCCATTGATTTTGCTCACAAAAGTCCCATTGGAGGACATTTGGGTGTCAAGAAGACACTCGGTAAACTGGCAAAATATTTTACTTGGCCAAAAATGAAGGAAACAGTAGCTGATCACGTGTGACGTTGACACGTGTGGCAAGTGACACGCAAGCCAGTGCACACACCTCCACCTACACCTCTCACTATGTTCACTAGTAGCAAAGTTCAGTTCATCTGGACTAGTGATTGTTCAGATTTGTTCAAAAGGTTGAAGCATCTGCTTTCCTCTGCCCCTGTGTTGAAGAGTCTTAATTTCAATCTTCCCTTCTTTTTACATATAGATGCGAATGGTTATGCAGTGGGCGCTGTGCTGCTCCAACAGTCAACATCCACTGACATTCTCCATCCTATATGTTACTATTCATCTAAGCTTAAACGACACCAGAAAAATTATGCCACTATTGAGAAAGAGGCTCTAGCTCTTGTGGTGTCCTTGGAACATTTTGACGTGTATTTGGGCACTTCCCCATTTAAAATTAAGTTTTTTTCAGACCACAATCCACTCACTTACATAAACACTATGAAGAGTAAAAATGCTAGGATCATGAGGTGGGCTCTCAGAATCCAACCTTATTCTATTAGTATAAAACACATAAGTGGTCATTGTAATGTAATTGCAGATGCTCTGTCACGTCCTTAATAATTATCAGTTACATTAAATTAACGT